TCATCGATAACCTTGTCTTCTTCAATATCTGATGTTACTTGCACCACCATATCACGAATTATGTGTTTGCGAAGTCTGTTGATGTTAAGAATGACATCATTCCCTTTTAAGCCAGGACGTAATATACGCAAATTAGGTTCGTGTGTAAGCAGAGCGTACATGATAAAGTCGGCATCGCAACCACAAACAACATGCCGATACTTTGTGTTATATCCTGGATGATTACGTTGCGCAGTTAAAAATCGAAATAATTTATGCTCTCCTTCACCGGCCACACTGGAATCATCAAGTATTATTTGAAGATTTTTGAGTCTACCATTCAAACGTTGGTATATATAATATCTAATTGCATCGTTTGCAGCCTGCATGAATTCGGTTCCTGATGATATCGATGCGCTATCTACTGGAACGAAAAATCCTGAAGAGTTTTTTGCACGAGCTGTTAATTTTGAATGCTCATTTTTAATAGATGAGTCTTCAAAATATGAATCGCTTTCTTCTGTTATACGAGACCCCTCCCGAGATAAAAATCTTCGAGATCGTTGTTCATTCATTTTTGCTCTTGGTGCAACACCATCCATTGCAATGTATACCAATACTTGAGGGTTGCAAACATTGAACGCAATATCCATTTCCTTAAAAACTCTTGATAACATGCGACGGGATGTGAAATTCGATTTTGAAGTTTTTTTCTCCATACTTCTAAGCGCAACGTGAAATAAAGCATTTATATCAAGGTACAAGAAATCAGTTTTGCTTCTGGATTTTTTCTTTACCGCTTCAACTATATGAGGATAACGCGAAGACAGCCATCGAAAGAACCCTGGTATACCCATGACAACGATAACAAAGCAAATAGAGCAAGCTTTTTAGGTTTCATAATAGACATTTGCTAATTTTCCCAATATTTTCCTATTGGACGTCAATGTGACTTAGCCGATCATTGGTGCAAAATATTATTTCGATTCAAAATAGTTTGAATCAGTTTTGATTAGGGATGTTAAGTAGTCCGCAGGGGGTGTGGTCCGGACCGGTCCTGGACTGGACTTTTTAGGGACCGTCCAGAACTAGTCTGAAACTAGTCCAAATAATCACATGGTATGAACAGATTGCCGTTTTGACATCTCAAATGGAATTTATATAGCATGAATCAAAAACGATG